TGAAATTGTTTAGATGATAGTTGGTAGAAGATAGTTTTAGAGAGTAGTTTAGAAAAAAAGTTTTGTGATTAATTTCTTGGATGATGGTTTACAATGTAGCAAATGCCTATTTATAGGCTCAAGTCACCAACCTTTCAATGGTGGTGAATATTCTAGAGTTCTCATGATAGGTTATTATCATGATAAATCTAGATTTTTCTATCTTTGCCATATACTTATATATCTGGATTATTCTACCATATTCATACACCTTATAGTTTCTAGGATGTTCTATATTTTCTTACATATTATATTTAAGAACTCTCTAGAAATTTGTATCAAATTTAACACTCCTCCTTGATACAAATTTCTTTGACTCCAAGCATAGCTCGTAGCTCTTCAAATCTTGGTCTCAGCAACGCCTTCGTGAATATGTCTGCAATTTGATCTTCTGTTCTGCAGTAGTCGAGTTTGATCTCTTTAGTTGTTTCAGCTTCTCTTATAAAGTGATACTTGATTGCTATATGTTTTGTTCTACTTTGATGCACTGGATTCTTTGCCATTGCAATTGCTAATTTGTTGTCGCAATTGATTTTAGTTGGTTGATCCTGTTTTTCTCCCATGTCTTCAAGTATCCTACGAAGCCATATAGCCTGACTCGTTGCTTCAGCAGCTGCCACGTACTCTGCTTCTGCTGTGGACTATGCAACCGTAACTTGCTTCTTTGACGCCCAAGAGAAAATTCCTGATCCGAGTGAGAAAGCATAGCCAGAGGTGCTCTTCATGTCATCTACCGAACCTGCCCAATCACTATTGGTGTAGCCAAGTAATCCTGAGTTAGTTTCGGTAGAGTACCATATACCTAACTCTTTTGTTCCTTGTAGATATCTCAAAATTATTTTTCCTGCTCCAAAGTGTATTTGACTTGGTCTTTGCATGAATCTTAATAGAAGACTTGTAGCATACAATATGTTTGGCTGCGTAGCTGTCAAATATAGGAGGCTTCCAATTAAACTTCGATATTTGGATGCATCAGCTTCTGGTGCTCCATCATTCTTTTGTAGTTTCTCATTTGTTATGAGTGAGGTAGCGACAGGTTTGCAACCGTACATCTTGAAATTCTTAAGTAAGCCTTCTGTGTATTTCTTTTGTGAGATGAATATCCCTTCATTTCTTTGGCTTACCTCTATACCGAGGAAGTAACTCATCAAACCAAGGTCGACCATCTTAAAGGTCTTCATCATGTCTTCTTTGAACTCCGTTATCATCTTAGTATTGTTTCCCGTGTAGATAAGGTCATCTACATATAGAGAGAGTAAGAGAGTGTACTGACCTTGAGACTTGATGTATAATGTGGGCTCACTCTTGCTTCTCCTAAATCCTTGATCCATGAAATATTGATCGATTCTGCTATACCATGCTCGAGGAGCTTGCTTCAAACCGTATAGTGCTTTTCTTAGTCTTAACACTTTGCTCTCTTCGCCTTCAGATATGAATCCTTGTGGCTGCTCCACATAGATCTCTTCTTCAAGTACACCATTTTGGAAGGCAAATTTGACATCCAGTTGATGTATACTCCATCCTTTTTGTGCCGCAAGAGCTATTAGAGCTCTAATGGTATCAAGACAAGCTACTGGTGCAAATGTCTCATTGTAGTCAACCCCAGGTTGTTGTGAGTAACCCTTAGCTACTAGCCTCGCCTTATGTTTCTGTATGGTGCCATCAGGATTGAGCTTTGTCTTATAGACCCACTTAACCCCAATGATATCTTTTCCATGGGGACGATTTACTAACTCCCGTGTGTTATTTTTCTCGATCATCTTTATCTCTTCTTCCATTGCCTTGACCCATGCTTTATGCTTTGATGCTTCTTCAAAGCTTCCAGGTTCGAGTATGGCCATGTTGCAGGTTTCATATATGTCTCTCAAAGATCTTACTCGTCTTGGAGTAGACTCTGGTGATGATAGTTCTTGAACTTGTTGTTGTGGTGGAGGTGAAGAAGGTTCACCTAAGACTTCTTCCTCAGCTTCTTCTTGAGGTAGTTGAGTGGGTATAAGAACATTCTTCTCCACTTTTTATTCATCCCAATTCCAAGAAGCATTCTCATCAACTTCTACATCTCGACTGATGATAAGTTTTTTTGTTTGCAAGTTATATACATGGTAGCCTTTAGATATTGTGCTATACCCCAAGAAGATACCTCGTATAGTCTTGTCTTCAAGCTTATGCCTCTTCACATCTGAAATATGAATGTAGCATATAGATCCAAAGACCCTTAGGTGCTTTGCTGATGGCTTCTTCCCTTTCCAAGCCTGAATTGGAGTCTTATCTTGTACAGATTTAGTTGGACATCTGTTGAGTAAGTAAACATCAGTGTAGACTGCTTCATCCCAGAATGTGTTAGGTAGTTGCTTCTCTTTGAGCATCGATCTAGCCATCTCCATAACTGTGCGATTCTTTATCTCAGACACACCATTTTGCTGAGAAGAATATGCGACTGTAAGTTGTCTCTCTATGCCTTCATCCTCACAAAATGTATCAAACTCGCGGGATGTGTACTCTTTGCCGCGATCACTTCTTAATACTTTTATCTGATTTCCACTTTGATTTTCAACAAGGGCCTTGAACCTTTTAAATACTCCAAAAACTTCTGATTTTTCTTTCAAGAAATAGACCTATGTCATTCTAGAGAAGTCATCAATGAATAGTATGAAGTACCTATTGTTCTCGTGTGATGGCGTCCTCATCGGTCCACAGACGTCAATATGTATCAGCTCCAACAGATCTTTTGCTCTCCATGCTCCGCTTGTTGAGAATGGAAATCAGTGTTGCTTACCAAGGAGACATCCTTCACACACTTCATTGTTATCCTTTATGCTTGGAAGACCTCTCATCATGTTCTTATCATGTAACAACTTCAAGGCATGTGTGTTGAAGTGGCCAAATCTTCGATGCCAAAGCCATGAATCATCAACTTGTACCTTCATGGCAATGTTAGTTGTATATTTTAAATTTAGCGAGAAGCTTCTATTGCTCTTATTCATCTTCACTTCGGCTATCTCGGCCCTTTTATTCTTGTTGTCTAAGATTTTTCATACACCTCCTTCAAAGTGAAGTGTGTAGCCTCTCTCCATCATTTGGCCAATGCTTAGAAGATTTTCTTTTAGGCTGGGAACTAGTAAGACATCATGGATGAGTCGCGTACCTTTATCTGTCTCTACCACGACAGTGTCTTTTCCTTTTGACTCAACCACACTTCCATTTCCTAGTCGAACTTTGACTTTGACTGACTCATCAATGCTTTTGAAAATAGTCTCATCCTTGGCCATGTGGTTGCTACATCCACTATCCAAGTACCAACTTCCTCCTTTTTCTTTTATTGATTCTTGAGTGGCATAGAACATACATTGTTCTTGATCATGCTCCTCTGCGATATTAGCTTGATGCCTATTTTTGTTGCGACAATGTTTCTCTATGTGCCCGAATTTCTTGCAATGATTGCATTGTGGCATATTACGGTACCAACAACTTTTCTCCTCGTGGCCTAGTCGTTTGCATATATTGCATGGAATATTTTTATCTGGATTGTTCTTTTGGAAATTTCTAGGAACTTCTCTTCTTTTGAAAGTTTCACCATAATTTTTCTTTCCTCCATTTTCTTTATTTTGGGACTTAAATTCGAGCTTTGACTAAAAGGCATTTTCAAGTGTATCTTCTTTATGCCTATGTAGTTTTTGCTCATATGCTTCAAGAGAGCCCACTAGTTCTGTCACTGATAGAGTAGACAGATCTTTGGTTTCCTCTATTGTTGTCACGATTGGGTCAAATTTTGGGGGCATAGTAATTAGAATTTTCTCAACAATTTTCTTGTCAAGAATATCCTCCCCAAAAACTCTCATTTGATTAACTATTTCTTTAACTTTAGAATAGTAATCTTTAACTGTCTCAGACTCCTTCATCTTCAATAGTTCAAAATCTCTTCTTAGAGATTGAAGTTTGACAGCACGTACCTTGTCATTTCCTTGAAACTCCTCCTGTAACGCCTTCCACGCTTCTTTTGCAATCTTAGCTCCCATAATTCTTGGAAAAATTGCATCGGTCACCGCTTGTTGCAAGGTGAACAATGCCTTTGTATTTTTCTATTTATTTTTCTTCAACTATTTTTCTTGAGCTGCATTTAGAGCTGAAGTATCTATGGGAGAGATGAAGCCTTCTTCTACTATGTCCCATAAATCTTGAGATGAAAAATATGTTTCCATTTTAACACGCCAGAAATCATAATTTTTACCATTGAAAATAGGGACACAAATAGTTGATGATTGAGTAGTGTTATCCATGGCTTAGAAAAAATATTGTAGTGGGTTAATAGTATAAGGGAAATATTTTGAAGTAGTTTGGAGGATTATGAAATGGTAGGTATTAGTATAACTACGCCCAATGTATGACCGAACGTAGCTCTGATGTCACTGTTTGAAATTGTTTAGATGATAGTTGGTAGAAGATAGTTTTAGAGAGTAGTTTAGAAAGAAGGTTTTGTGATTAATTTCTTGGATGATGGTTTACAATGTAGCAAATGTCTATTTATAGGCTCAAGTCACCAACCTTTCAATGGTGGTGAATATTCTAGAGTTCTCATGATAGGTTATTATCATGATAAATCTAGATTTTTCTATATTTGCCATATACTTATATATCTAGATCATTCTACCATATTCATACACCTTATAGTTTCTAGGATGTTCTATATTTTCTTACATATTATATTTATGAACTCTCTAGAAATTTGTAGCAAATTTAATAGTCTTAAATTGTTGCTAGTGATGAGACGAGTATCTTCCTAATTAAGACAAAAAAATAATAGAGAATGTAAAGTATGAAACATTAATAGAAACATGATTTTTATTTGAAAAGAAAACACACAAAGGTCACACAAGCTGCTAGTAAGCAGAGTCATTATTTAGACAGTAGATAATTATTACAAGCTGCTAGTAAGTAAGCATAGCCTGTAATAACATTATTATTCATTTATCTGAGACACTGCTTGTTGTTGTTGTTTCCAAGTTTGATGTAAAAGACCATGAATGGATGTTGTAGGATTCACCGGTTAGTGTAGCAGCGGATAGACCAATCTGAACTGTGTTCGGGAGTACTGCTTTCAAATCAATGACTTGAGCAATGGTGAAAATTTGATTATTCTCATGAGTAACAACAGCACTCAACGTGTTAGAAGGAGAGTCATAGATTATAGTTACTGTAGTCAATGAACCACTCACCAAGTTCCATTCCACGGTCTTTGTCGAAATTATAGAGTTGAGGTTGATTCCAATATGTCTGGTATTGGGATCCCAAGAATTGGAATAAACATCAAACTCTAGACCAACAAACCGATTGATTGAACTTCCACTATCAACTACTCCCAGAAACGGTGTGGTTGAGTTTTTGGGAATCAGCGTGCCTGGTGGTGCAATGAAAAAGATCAATCCATCAGTTATAGGACCTTTCGTGGTGTCTATGATGAAAGAAAAGGAAGTCACAAAGCTGGCACCAATGCCGGTAGCACTGTCCCAAAGCGGCACAGATGTTGTATATAAAGCCCGACCTACAGTTGTAAAATATTGACCTGGAGGAAGTGGTGAACTTTTTGTCAGTGCTATGACACCATTGGCAAATGTTTGGGCATCACCTTGGAGAGTGATCTTAGAATCACCAGGGGTGAACCTTTTGAAATTGAAAGACAGTGCTTGTGCTGAGTTTAGATTTGTTGCTAACAAGAGAAAGACGAAGGAAAGAAGAGAAAATAGCGCCTGAGTTGGAAGGTTTGTGTGATATAAAACCATGATGGTACTTTGAAGTTTTGATACCAAATTATAAATGAGGATAGTTGGTTTCTAACATAGTAACATCTATAGATATATATACACCAGGGTTTGGTATCACATATAATTAAAAATACTTAACAATTCTTGTCAAGAGTATCTAAAAATTGAGGAAGTATATTAATTTTATAATGTATATAAAAAGCAAAATTTATTGATGATGTTGATAAACAAACGAGGAAATAAATTATCACTATTTCAGCACCATGCGGTAAAGAGTGTTGGATGAAAAATATATTATAAATACAATCGTTCAGTGTAAGAAATTTTTTTTTTAAACAACCATATTCTTTTAACAATAATATTTTGTTGAGAAATGATGTCGTCAATAACAAAAACAAGAAATCTTATTATATTTTATGAAAAATAGAGAAGAAGGAAGAAGAAGAATTATTAATTAAAACTATTGTACTATTCACATTCTCAATAAATGTTCAAAGATTACGAGTGAATATCAACAATTAGTCTCTCTCAAACAACCTGAGAGAACTAGTTTATTTATAGGCTAATTAGTTAACTTAAGCTATAAACTAAAATAGAGAAGAAGGAAGAAGAAGAATTATTAATTAAAACTATTGTACTATTCACATTCTCAATAAATGTTCAAAGATTACGAGTGAATATCAACAATTAGTCTCTCTCAAACAACCTGAGAGAACTAGTTTATTTATAGGCTAATTAGTTAACTTAAGTTATAAACTAACATAACAATTGGACTTACAATCAAGACTCAATTCGACATGCTTTAAAACAAAATGTATTTCGACAACATGCTTGAACAGATTTCGACTACAGCATATACAACTTCTGTCGAACCATGAAGGTACCCTTGCGACACCAGAGCTCGATCCAAATACGACTAATCTCCACATTAGAACAAACACTACACTAACAAGGGAACAAACTAACTTTCATCAAGCAGTTATATCAACCTCATACAGTAGAAACACCTGCTACTTGTCAATGTCTTGTTGATCATATGAACAACATTATCATCAATCGAAACCTTCAACACTTGGATTTCTCCATGCTTGATTATCTCTCTGATAAAGTGTAGTCTCACACCGATGTGCTTGGTTCGCTCATGGTAAGATGAATATCAGATTTAATAGTTATAACTCAACCTTAAAGCTTCAGCTCCTTAATAAAACCTTCAAGCCATAATGCTTCTTTCACTGTTTCTATTAGGGCAATATACTCCGCTTCAGTGGTTAATAAGGCAACAACCTTTTGAAGAGTTGTTTTCCAACTAATTGTCATGCCAAACATAGTGAAAACATATCTAGAAATAGATTTTTTGGAATCCATACAACCTGCATAATAAGAGTCGACAAACTCTTCGATTTTGACTTTGCTATTATCACCACAGGCTCTAGAATAAATCAAGACTCTGCTCAGAGACTCATTTTTGTACCTTAGAAGCCACTTCAATTCTTGATAGTGCGCCTTCCAAGGATTGACCATATACCTATTTACAAGGCTCACTCAGTGCGCTATGTTTGGCCTAGTACGAACCATAACCTACATTGAAGAACCTACTATACTAGCATATGAAATGCTATTCTTATAGGCTCTTTCGACTTCAGTACTAGGACTTTGAGTCATGCTTAGTTTGTACTAAGGATTATTTGGTGTTAGGACATGTTTTGCATTAGACATATCAAACTTGTCGAGATTCCTCTTCAGGTTTGTCTCTTGAGATAGGTATAATCTCGACTGCTTTCTATCTCTTCGGATGTTAATTCCAATAATTTTGGAGGAAGCTTCCAAATCCTTCTTGTTGAACTCCTTATCGAGTTCAACCTTCACATTCATAACATCTTTGACACTGTTACTTTCTATGAGAATGTCATCCATATAAAGCAACAAAATAACAACTGAATTTCGAAGTTGAAATCTGAATTAACACAAGGGTCGAACTGACTCCTAGTGAAACTAATGTGTGTCATGAACTTGTCGAATCTCCTATTCCATTGTTGATAAGAGTGTTCCATGACATACAAAAAAAACTATTCAACTTGCACGCATAATCTTCCTTTCTTTTTTCTGCATACCTGTTGAAAAGTATTTTGGGGGTGTTTTATCGTATCCACAGGGACTGTAAGTAAGATATCATAGATGCTAGTTGTTCAATAGTTTAACGTTCTATGTAAAGATTTTTAGAAAAATTTCTTGTTTTGTAACAAAAGTTTGTTGGAAAGAGTAAATTAGGGCAAAGATATTTTGTTTTAAGGAAAGCATATCAAGATTAGATTCCGTTAATCCTTTCCATACGTATCCGATTAATCAAGCATGTGAACTTAGTTTCGATGAATACAATTGTGTATCTTTGCAAATTTGTTTATCTCTAAAGCGGCTCCGTGAATATTAATGTTTTAATCGCTAGATGATTTCTCAAAATAAAAATCGAAACAATAAACATAAAGATCAAGACAAAGTAAATATCAACTTTCAAAACTATGTCTAGAGTTTGTTGGTTAATATATGAATAAATTAGATCAAGACTTGGAAAATATATGTCTAGATAGATTCAAACCATAAATACATCATTAAAAGCAAATATCTTTGTCGTCTATTAATCATAAACCTTGTTCACATACATAAGATCAAAAGAAATACATAATAGAAAAATTAACTACCTCTAATCTTAACACAAAAGTGGTTTAGATACCAATAACTATTGTAGCTTGCTTCACAAGTTTCGGGAGGAGATGAATGAGCATCCACATCGAAGAATCGATCTTGGATGCGAATCCAGCTTCTATGTGTAAAATCTCACTCTTTGGTGAAGAAAACTCAGAAAATAGGGTTTTGGTGTGTGAAATGGGGTTATGATCCTCAAAAATGGTCAAAAGAACTTATAAAGTACATACAGATGTTCGTACTACGAACAATTTATTCGCCTACCGAACATCAAATTAGGCGTTTAATGTGCCTCTCCACATTTAAACCGCCTCTGAGACAACTCTGAAGTTCGCCGTGCGAATGATTATTCGCCCTACGAACTACTTCGCCTACAAGTTCGCACAAAGAACGTATACCCCTTTAGCTACTGCCTCAAGTCTGGGATGTTTCCCTAGCTCTTCGCTGACGCGTTGCCACAGTGAACTGTTGCGGTTAGAATAGGATATAAAATTATTAATTAATTTGAATCGCAAATCTTTGATTCACAACCGGTCTTTAATTTATCCGAAGGAAAGGTCAAAGAAAGGAAAAACCTAATTTTACATCGTAAACACAATGCGGAGAGAGATCTAGGTAAGGGGTTGGTTAAGCTTAGGGAAGGTAGTAGCACCCTAAAGTTCTGTAGTACTCTACATGAACCTTTTATTTAAAGTTTACTATTTTTCTTGATTATTTGCTTGATGGTATATTGCTAAGGGTTAAAAGTGACAGAAAGACCTAAGGGTTAGTCCTAAGTTTACTCGCCAAGATTCGCATCTTGTGCCTACGTATCCTGGGAAGGGGATGGAATCAGAGTAATCGTAGTTCCCCTCGAAAGGGAGGTTAGAAACTTCTTGAATATGGTCATGGTTTCAATGGGGAGTAAGCGTTCTTAAGGAAGCGCTTACGTGAGGTATGGCGACTCCAATCTCTACATTATAAATAGTTGAATTAAAAGGTTAAAATATGTATTCCACGGTGGGAAACCTAAAATGGAGTGCGGCGACTCCTTATCATAAGGCTAGGGTAAAGGGTAAAACTGTCCACGGCGGGACGCCTAAAAAGATGAGTACAACGACTCGAAATTCTCTAGGTTGTAAAGTTGAATTGAATTAAGAAAAGGGTAAGATAGGTATTCCACGGCGGGAAGCCTAAAACGGAGTGCGGTGACTCCTTGACCTAATGCTAGGGTAAAAGGGTAATTCGGTGCACGGCGGGATGCCTAGGAAATTAGGGTTTTAAAAGGGTCGGAGGAGACGGACTATTGACACGGCGGTCAAACAGCTAGACCTAATCCTTCGGAAGGGAATTAATGGTAAAGTAATGTCATGCAAAATAATTAAGGCGGTAGTATGAAAATATGGGAAAGTGCGAAAACAATAAAAGGAAAGCACCACGACGATATACTCGTGTAAATTACAACCCAAAAATGCAAGAATAAAACGGAATACAAGCGAGGATTGTCTCGCGTAAATTACATCCATGAAAAATAAATACGAAAAATAAAAGGATCAATAATCAAAGCCAAACGAGAAACAATGAAAGTTAGATGAAAAGTTAATGGGAAAGGTTAATTCGCAACTGTAATCAGAATGTTAGCCACATTTTAAGAAACATTTCAAATTAATTGAAGAATTTGCAAGAATAAAAAAATGCTCTTAATTCAAGAGTTTTTTTTAAGGTTTTGATTATTAATTACAAAAGTTCTAATTTTAAATTTAAAATGGATTGATTTTAAGTTAGTAAAATGTTGTCAATTAAATATTAAAATGCTTTAAAATGTTTTAATTGATTAACACTGATTTTTACCTTTTAAAAATGGTTTTGATTAGAAAGAAACTTTAATTTAGAAAAAATGTTTTCATTTAGAAATATGTTTTTAATAAAAAATGGTTTGATTTTAATTTTTGAAAATGTGAATCTTTAATAAAAAAAGTAGTTTAATTTGAAAACATATTTTAATTTTAAGTTTAAAATTTTTAATGTTTTGAGATGGTAAAAATAGGGTTGTTAACCCCTTTTTAAAAAAATAGTTTAATTATAGAAACAGTTCTTTTTTTTTAACTATCTAATTACATCACAGGATTAAGAAATAATAATAATAACTTAATAATAATAATTAGTAAAATAAAAGAAATAGGAAATAAAAAAGGAATAAAAAGAAAGAATAAATAAAAGGGGAAAGGGGTGGTAGATCTGCTGAGACTTTTTCTAGGGTTTTTTCATAACTCTCTTTTTCTTCCTCTGAAGCATGCGGTGGCTACCTCCCTCCATTGTTGCTTGTTGAAGCTTTTGCT